TGTATAGTGGTGTAAGCAAGACAAGGTTGTGATCTGATCTGCCAAGGGGAGGAAGGGCTGTGGAACTATATGCATCCTTAGCATTGGCATATAATAAGTCCAGTGTTTTGTTTTCCCTGGTCCGGCACTTAACAAACTGGTGGAAAGTAGGCAGAGTGGTGGAAATAGATACGTGGTTAAAGTCCCCTGAAATAGCTATAAAAGCGCTTGGGTGCTTTGTTTGTAGCCTGGCTGTGACTGTGTTTATGACGTCACACGCTACCTCTGCATTTGCCGTAGGTGGATAAAGGAATAAATAAAGGAATAAACAAAATTGTAATATAAATTTGTGTTGGCTTTCCCGAGTTACATTCCCAGCCTTCTTTGGCTTGGATTTTTAAGCTTTTGCTTTCAAGTGCACACACTTACACAGTTAAAGTGTTTCGCTTCTGTCGATGCATTAGAAACATAGATAAATTCCCACCTGTGTCACTGAATCAATTGATTCCTGTTTTTATTGCCTTGCAAGAGCTAAAGGCGATTGTGGGGAATCCCTAGTTAACCTGTTGTGGATGGACATCAGGCTAATAGATATGTGTGAAACAGTAACAATAAAATCAGCTGTACAAGCTTTTAATTTAAAAATTCAAATGGTATCCTGTGAAACTGAGTGTTTTGTACATTTTTCAGATTTCAAGCATGTGTTTATCTGCCTTTTATTTCACTGTCTTTTGAATTGCGATATTAAAGATTTCAATGCAATTAGATGTCTGAAAAGAATGTCCAGTATTGTATGATTGTATGTCTTTACAGTATGTCTATTTACTACCAGCCATCTCTCTATGATAATTCAAGTAGGTAGCTGCGTCAGCATGCGTAGGCTGCAAATGAACAAGTAAAAGGTTTATTCCATGCTGAAAAGATAAGAAAGGAAACACAACGTTTCAGCTGTGGAGCCTTCTTCAGGTGTTAGAAGCCAATCTGGGTCACACCCGAAGAAGACTCCACATCCGAAATGTTGTGTATCCTTTCTTCCCTTTTCAGCAAGGAATAAACCTTTTACTTCTGTGATTGTGTGTATTTCTAACTATAAACTATGTTTTGCTCATAATTCCTTTTTTCGTAAAACTATGAAGCTTGCTAGCTTGTTAGTAATTAGTTCCGTTTTCTGTTGTCACATAACTTTTTTTTTGCATGCCGTATACTACTAAAATCTCTCATTGGACTTTGGCTGAGAAGCCACTTACTTGCAACCTCTTTACCACTTTTCTTCCTCGTCTTTTTCTTATCTTTCACTTCATTCTGCTCATGCCCATGGACTTCCACCTGTTTACCTCTTCCCCAAATGCTAACATGCAGAAGCCTCCCCCAGTTCAGCCCTTCCAGCACCTTCCCCTGCTCCCCCCACCTCTTTGACTGACTCCTCTCCTCCCCCCCCAGTTGTACCGAGCTCCAGTGCCCTCCCCTCTGCTCCCCGTGACGTGGTCCCTCTCCTTGTGTCCAGCCGCTTTGTGCGACTCAGCTGGCGCCCTCCAGTGGAGACTCATGGAAACATCCTCACCTACTCTGTTTACTTTACCAGAGAAGGAACTAACAGGTATGTGATACGTTTCATCATTGAAAAGTTAGATTATATTTAGCTGATAAGCAAAAAATGTTTTTTCCACTGCTGTTTCTATATTTTGTCCTCATTCTTTGTAATTGTCCTGTGTTCCTGATTTAATGTGTTGAATGCTTATACTGTATGCAACTCCACTGCAACAGAACCTTTACTGGCGGTATCTGGATTCTCTGAAGATACTGTGATATCTTACCAAAGAACAATAATATTAATCTTAAAGTGCAAAGCCTCAAAATCACAAGCTACTGTAAATGTTAGATATGTGAAAACCGAGCTATACGACAGTCTGAAACTGACAAACCTTTCAACAAATGTTACAGGTTTCAAACTGGAGACAGTACTTGGTTGAAAATAGTTAAGTTGAAAATGAAGATGTACAGTATGTGACCTCAGGACAATATATTCCTTAGGCAGACAGATGACAGAATCTTTTCTTGGTCTTTTTAACATTTTCACATGATTTTATTTTCTTGCTACTGTACTAGCTCCTAATACAATAAAACCAAGATTTAGCGGACCTAGATATAACAGATATCAGATTTAACAGACAGTATCCAATATTCTTGCTTTTTTATTACACCCAAATAATACCAGACATTTGTTAAATCAACAGTAACTGTTAAACCTAAATATGCCCCTTTTTAGTAGATTATGCTATTACTTAAATGTAACAACACATATAGAGTATATAATTCAGGTTATTATGAATTATTGCATTCGTGATAACTTTTTACTGTACAGTACATGATTGAAAATGAAGAATTCATAAGAAAGCATGGAAATAGTATTATGGTCTGATTAAAGGCCAAATAAGAACCATAATAAGGGTGTAGTCATCGAGAAAAAAAAGTAGTTCATACATACAAAATACAGTAATATTTTATAGTGTTGCATTAATAATTGAAATGATACCAAAGCACGCATTTGCGAGAGTCAAAAAGCAAACAGTGTAGGATATTTGGAAGAGCAAGGACAGCTCCCTTTTTAAATAATTATTTCACTACTTATATTGCTAAGAGTATCATTATTATTTGTATTAAAGTGACTATAAATGTATGAAGTGGATATCTTGTTTGTCAGTTGAATATGTATCATTTTCTATAGTGTTGTCTGGTGGTTATAACATACAGTACCATATACTTTGTGGACAATTTAAATGACAATCACCAATAACAGACTACCATTCCTCCCTATTAGTCTGTTAAATCAAGGTTTACTATATTGTAATGAATGACAGACAAAGAAACATAAATATATTTTACAAATTTAAAAAAAATCACAATATGTGATAATGTTCCTTGTAGGTAAGTGAGTTTTTTTTTTTTACTTGTAGTGCTTAACACTTCTAGAAATTTAATACATCATATGAACTCTATTCCAAGCATTTTGATCCCGTATTAATTTAAAAAAAGCAACAGTGCCATGTGTCTATGCACAGCCAATGAATTCCTTTCTGACACAAAAGAGGGCCGGATGAAATACTCAAAAGTGTGGTCTGAAAGCACACTTAATGTCAATGGTGCTCTCTGATTGCTGTTTGTATACACTGCTTTGTTCACGCACTTTACGTTTAGTAGTAACTGCTGCTTGCATTGCAGTCAATTAAGAGCCACTTCAGCTAGAACCGCCTGTCTCATTACTCTTTCTTTCTATACAATACTGTATTTCAGCGCCGTCATATCTGTGTTAAGAGCCTGGTAGATTCACTGCCTTTCTCTTGCTTTTAAATTTTCTGTTCCCTCCTTTCTCATTTATTAATGCATGTGTGCAGCATCAGCTAATTTCAAGTATCAGTAGTCATTTTGAAAGGTGAAGAATAATTGCACCAGCTCTAGTGCTGTGCTTCTTGAGCTCCACCTGCCATTCTGCCTTGGATTGCACAGAAAGCAAGAGTTGTGTCAGAAAGAAAAATGTTTTAGTGGGTGGGGGGTGTTAAACTTTAGTAATACAGAGCACTATCAGGGTTTAGCTGACCAAATGAATTTCCATTTTGTTCTAAAGTGTTTTCTTTGTCTTCACTAACCTTGCACTTTGATGTTCGGAAATTAATTTGAAGCTAACTCGGTGTGTAAGGATCTGAGGAATACGAAATTCTATTCAGATGACACTCGGTGATCTTCAAACGTACACTGCTGCACAGGGTACATTTTAATGAATAAAATTTATTACACCAAATTAGTTTGACATTTTTTCACATAATGGGTTTGTCGAAAAATGCACATTTACTTCTATAAACCAGGACAAATACTGCTAATAAAATTAAACTAAATGTACTGTCTTCACTGTATGGGATCTATAAGTAGGGGACAATGTTATTTATATACATTTTCCATTCTAAAGAGTTTTTGTATGTTAGTTTCTGGACTGATTTAATGTGAAAATAAAAATAAATGATTTACAGTACAGTGAATGGGCTTTGGTTTTTAAAATCTTGATTACAATTCATATGCTTCTGCCTTTTTGCTTAAAATCCCATTGACACCACCTAATTGAGGTCTCCATCTGACTTAAGAAGAGGTTTGAAAGCCTCTCGATCTAAAAGGATAAATTATAACTAATTATGTTTCTTTTATGAAGCCTAAAATTTAAAATTATATACAGTATATACACTTTCCTCCACTGTCCAAAAAGGATCGTGTTTATTTAAAGCATATTGCAGGTTAACATGACAAAAACAGATTAAAAATACATTGCTTTATTCACTTTATAATGGGTAGATACTTAATGGTATTAGTTATTTCCTGGGAATTAATTATTTACTGTTTTCCCATTTACAAGACAAGGCTAATGCTGCTTTTAAAATGTTATTCAAGTCTGCAGTACAGTATCACAGTCTACTGATATTTCCCCCACATACTGTATACATAGAAACTCACATAAAAACAGTTCTTTGTTGTTATACAGTATTGAATCATGACTGGACTCTGTATAGCTGCAACACTCGTCTAGGTCACTTTCAGTGCACTCCACCCAGTGGTGAGTGGGATCATTGCACCATTCACACCATCCCCATGTCAAGGCTGAGGACCAGTCAATGTTGGAAGGGTCTGCCAGCCCACCACTCTGCCTTTGCTGGAGGTTTGTCTTCTCTCACCTTCTCTCACCAAAGATCCTACCATCCTCCAAAGCATCCAAGGGTTTTAGGGAGGGTTCAGGATGTCAGCCCCTTCCATTGCCAAAACTCAAAAAAAGAAAAATCTCGGGTAGCACCTCTACTTTTTTGCCTGTTTGTGAGCTCCTGGGTTTCAGTATATTACAGACCCCACCCTTATCCACACATAAGAACTACTGTACATAATGGAAATCAAAGAAAGGTCAGGAGGATTGAATCCAGGATTCTTCAGTCTTCTTCAGTCTTAAAGAATACTCCAAAAACTGCATTCAGCACTGGCTTCGTCCACGGTCATTTTATAAGCCACACTTAATTACACCGAAATGGGAATGTGCTTTTCTCCGCTTATCTCCAGTAATTTTTTAATTAAGTGATTGTGACCTGTTGTGTCTATTTACAATAATACAATACAATAATTGGGATAGATCAACTGCAACCGTAGTCCCTTCATCTACTCGGCTACCACAACTTGCTTGCATTTTTGCTCTGTTTTTGGAAATGATTAAACTGAAACTTACTAGCATGCTTTACAATTGAGAGCTCAAGTTATTTAATCTATTAAACCAGTTCCAAGCTGTACATGGTACTTTCCTTCTTTTCCTACATTTCATCTTATCCCAGTTCTTTCCCAATAGCAGAATATACTGTAGTTTTGACTTGTGTTGAAAGGTCTTCCTCATTTAGCTTTGCAGGCCTCATTTTGTTTAGGTATGCTTAAGGTCACAATTTCTTTCTGTACATTATATAATACAGTATTGCAGTCCTTTTTCCAAATATGGCTGTCCTGATCTACTGATGTTCTCTCAAGCAAAACATTGTTGTATATGATAGAGCACAATCAAGAGCACTGAGTAATTGTATTATATCCAGTGCATATTCATGAATGGTAGCAAAACAAGAGGTAAAGAATGTGGTATGATGTATGTAATTGCCATTACAAACTTACATTTGTAAAGAAAATTCACTGATCACAAGGAATATTACATTACATGATATACATGCTTCTCACAAAAAAATATTTTAAGCTTAATTATTAATTACGTTTGAGCATACTGTATGCCACCGTTAAAATAAGTCCTCTGTTATGTACTCATAAAAGTACTGAAGAATCCAAATATAATACATATTCCTAGGGTATTTTGTGTATTAATGTGACAAACCTAAAATGAAATTCCATTAAAAATGAAATTCCATTACTCTGCTTTGTCCAACAAAAACATTGTCTGGTTATGAGTAGGTAAACATTATAATTTATGTTGTATGCTATAATAAAACAGTAATGGAAAAAAAAAACAGATCTTAGATAGCAAAATAAATTTAGCAAAACAAAAGTCAACTGATGAAAGGAGTTTTCAGTTATTTTTCTTGTTTTTCTGTCACTCGTGCTGCCCTGTTTTATAGTTCTATTCTGCCTGATTTACATACAAAACCTTAGACAGGCTTCTATTAAGCTCTCATTCCCCTATTTCAAGATCTGTTATTGCTATTTAAATGGGAAACTGTTGCAGAAATAATTCTGAAGGTCTTTGGCAGCTGTCCTATGCTGCAAAAGTAATAAGAAAAGTATTGTGCTGAACTGAAAACACCTAAACTTTTTTAAGAACTGTTTTTGACTGCACAAACATGTCAGCAAATGTTCCTCTTTTAGCAGCTGCATAATGCATCTCTGAGTATTATACTGTTTATTTTCAGCTTGTTTTAATTTAATAAAAACTAGTGCTTTAAGTAAGGATAAATTGTGACATTGATCATTATCTTAGTTCAAAGAAGGGAAGTGTTTTTGTAGTCTTATTAATTCTTATTTAAAAGTATGCCTGCATCTTTTTACTATACTGTAGATTCCAGGCTAATTAAAAGTAGAGCACACCCACACAAAGTATGTAACTGCATGGAAAATGCGATTAAATTGTAACATTTAAGGTGACTATGTACAGTAGATTGTTATTCTCCAGAAAGACTTCTCAACTCTTTTAGAGTCTGACTATGGCATCATCATCATCAATAACAACAATATTATCAAAAATTAATGTTCCAGTACATTATATAACACACCTTTTTGTATGTAACATTTCTAAATGGGGAAACCATTTGCCACATTTATCCGATGTGGTTGTTAGTAGCTAATTGATCTCGCCCCGCCTTTTTTTGAAAGTAGTCAGGGTATTACCTTTTCTAACATGCCAGATAAAGCTTGTTTTAGACCCCACAATCCTTTGTGTGAAAAAGCATTTCCTTTTTTCTGGCTTACTGTTTGTTCTGAAGAAGTTAATCGGTTTGACTTTAAGTATGTTGATACAGGCTATTCCGTTTAGCCAGGATCATTTCTGCACTGATTCTAGAGCAGAGTGATCTTTTCTGCAAAGAGGCCGTCATAATGATATACAGTATTTTTTAAGAAGTCATACTACTGCACTGTACAATTTTAACACAACGCAAATTTTAAAATTTAATTTTAACTCTCCCTTACTTCATGCTTTACTGTTCTAAGTACTTTATTGTGTAGTAATTGTTTAAGTATTGCAATACTTAAAATATTGTATTTACTGTATTATAACCTCAGATGCAATATCCTTTTCTTATCTCTCTTATGCATTATAAAATGCCTTTTACCTGTACCAGCAGTTTTTTACTGTATATTCCTCTTCTTTTATCCTGTTCTTTTTAACCATTTTACACAGGGCTTTTTTTCTCCTTAATTTAAAAACCATTTAGACATGTGCCTTTTAGCCTTTGATTTGCTTTCTTGTTTTGTCTACTATATCATTCTCACTCTTCCTGCATTTGTTTTCAGAAAGCATTAAATACTGTAGTTTGGCACATACTATATGTGATGTCTGTTATTGTGTATAATAAAAATAATAAATATTACTTTTATTATTTCAGAATGGGCTACATGTACGTTTATACTGTATATCTCTGAATGTATACAAAATGCTATTTTATTGTAGGGAGCGAGCTGCGAACATCTCACAGTCAGGGGATTTGCAGTTCACTGTGGGAAACTTGAAGCCAGAGGAGACATACAGCTTCAGAGTTGTGGCCTACAATGATTTTGGCCCTGGAGAGAGCTCGCAAGCTATCAAGGTTTCTACACAGCCAGAATGTAAGTACCAGCATGTACTGGTGTATGAATGAAAACCTTTCCTTCTGTCTAACTAGAAAGGTTATTGGCACTGTAAAGAAGGAACTGGTTTTCACAGTACTACAGCGAGATCTGAACGAAGGATATGGCTGAGGATCTCTGCACACATCCTTCACCCCTATATTATATTTCTCTGTTTTTTTTTCTTCTTTTAAACGGACTATAGTTTACAAAACTGTGCTATAGGATACTTTTAAAACTGTAGTCTGATTAGATCTCTCCTACTCTTTTCTTGACTCTAGCTAGGGCCTCATCTCTTATATCAGATTGAAGTATGTAAGCCATTAGAGCCTTTACAGAATAAAGCCTTTCCATTTTTTTTTTTTGCTCAAGGGGCACAATATGGTCAATATTAAATAAACAAGTAACTTTTAACCCTTAAGGGCTATGAAGGTTTAAAGTAATGTCTTAGAATGTGCATGTTTATTTTGTAGTCATATTTGGAATGGATTAGATCCTTTTAAGGGGAGCATTATATAAAACATAAAGAAAGAATATGATAACAAGAGGTGGTCATTCAATCTACTTGTTTTCTTTTAGCTTGTTTTGTTCTTAGTAGCTATTTGATCTATGGATCTCATCGAACTAGTTCTTGAAGTTTAGTGCTGTTTTCAACATGGTCAGATTTGCACAACCCTTAGTATAAAGAAATGCATACTCTTCTTTTTTAATTTCCTCATAGTTTTCATTTGTGTCCTCCTGTTTGTGGGAATGCTATTTTGAGGAATGCCTGTTGGTACTGTAGGAATATTAAAATAGGCTAAAGTTAAAGCAAAATGATTCAATAATTAAGGTGAAATGTACTGCTGCTATTCAAATATGTTATATACTGTACGTAGGTTAATGAGTCGATACACAGTGTAATTTCCCCTAGATTCTGGCAATATTTTGACTTCACTTCCATCATTCCACACGTCATGATAAATCATCTCTTTGAAGTTAGAGATAATTCACATGTCACACATTAATTTTTATTGCACACAGACTGGGGCTTCCCACAATAGTCATCACCTAGGCTTTAAGAATTGTAAGAATCAGACAGTTACATAAAAACTCTTTGAACTGCAATTACTGGTAGTGGTAATCAGTGCTGAGAGATTTGAATGTTCATTGAAATGTAGTACTTCATTTCCATTGGCTTAATCAGAATTCAAACACAATGTATGTCTGGGTGAGGATTCAAGAGGTGGCCCCCAGGGCATCTTTCTGAACATAACTGTAATCCGTGGGTGTTAAATTGATTACTGTATGTCTCTCTACTTTTATCCCTACATGCTGGATTGCCACAGGACTGGCCTAAAAAGGTCACCGTAATTTAATATTTGAGAAAATCCTTCAAAAGCTAGGTGTGCTTTTGCATATGCTGTGGTATTAAGTAAATAAGAGAATTAACTTGCAACAAAGTTGCACTCAGTTCAGTCCAATAGCAGAAGGTACTACAATAATCCTCAGCATTTGCAAATTCATCCTTGAGATTAATGCAATAATCCAGTCTTCAAAAGTGCTTGTAAATACATCTTCACAAGGAAGTATGTACAGTACAGTCAAATAAACAAACATTAGTGGTGGTAGATAAATTGTACTGGAGTATACGATATAATTATTTTTCTACCTAAAGGATCAGATACAGTATATCAAAAGTAGGTCGTAGAGAGACCCTAGTCATGCAGTAAAGTAATGATGACATTTTCAGACGTTGCTTGATTTTGACAAGGCTCACCTTTACAATCTGAATCTAAAACATACAAAAAACATATACTTGAGGTTTATGCCTCTTTAAAAGAAAAAGCACTGCATATTTAGGTGGGTAAGCAATGCATACATTTCCCCACAAATAATTGAATTTTATACATTAAAGAGGATATGAACTCTCTGTACAGATATCTTTACATTTAACTTGAGATTTGTTTTTGGTCTTCAATCTTTACTGTACATTATATAGAAAACTGATTCAAGTGACTGAAGTTTTATGCTGGTGACAGCTCTTACTTATGCAGACCAGCAATTCTACTTTTTCATGGTCACGTTTAAATATAATTATTCATAGATTGTCCTAACTCTTTTAAAAATGCTTAGCAAGATCTGATATGAAACGTGCTGGACGCCCTTTACAATTTCTGTTTGGGCTTATTGCCATATTCTTCTTTCTTGTCACCCCACAGTGCAGGTTCCTGGGCAGGTGGAGAACCCTCATGCTGTCGCCATGTCACCCACTTCCATTCAGGCATCCTGGGAGGCGCCGGCCTATGCCAATGGCCCCATCCAGGGTTACAGATTGTTCTGGACAGAGACGTCCACTGACAAAGAACAGGTCAGTCCGGGTTCATTTCTCAAGTTTTCAAGAAGGCATTTCAGAGTGAGAGCTTTGAAATACTACCGTTGTCTAAAACAGAGAGCTCACGCTCCCTTTGGGGACCTGCTGTATGTGGACTGAAAAATCATCAGCCATCAGCCAATCAGCTGACGCATTAGGGTAGAAGTCAATTTCCTAATAAATACTATTTATTATGTTTAAAAAAAATGTTTTAGAATTACCACTAGTGTTCAAGTTGTATAATATAAAAATATGTAAAACCCATTCATGATATCAAATTAACATTAGTTTGTTAAACTGAACTGCATTTTGCATACAGTATGTATATGTAGTACATATATACATTAGTTAATTTAATTTTTCTATCAAAAGAATATCTGAATTAATCTGTTGAATAAATTATTTTTGAAAGGTAAAAGTATTTCATTTGTAATACAATGACACTTCAGAGACTTACAGTCATACAGCATGAGATAATTTGCTTAATGCTATCAATCTTAATTAAGTACATAATGATAGTACTCAGTAGATGTTATTTGTTCAATAGAGCTGACCCCATTGTGTTGTGTGTTTGAAAAAAAAACATGATCAGGAACAAGGAGCATACTTACATTTTTACCTTCTGTAGCTGTCAGTGTATTGTATGTGATGATTAATAGTGGTAAGGTCACTGTGACTAGCAAAAGCACTCTTCACTTTATTGTTTCTGAAAAAAAGATACATAAAAATGTAGATTTAGTGTATGTAGTCAGACTGTAATTATACAGTATGTGTAGTGGTGCTTTTGTTTTCTTTTCTGATGCATTGAGAAACGATGCCTTAAAAAATTATCTAAAATCTACAGTATGTTTATAAAATACTTTCTGACATGCCTATGTATAGTACCTGCTGGGGTTCATGTGATGACATGAGTATTGTATTCTCATATCACTTTCAATATATTTTGCATTCAAATTCTTTAGCACCTTAATTTTTGAAGTTCATAGTAATCTCATGGCTTATAATTGCTGCTTCAATTCAAGAGAATAGTACTGGCCTCCAGAGTTTATTTGAAGATTCACTGTACCCCAGTCACATAGAATTTTACGCTGATGAGTAAAGGAAAGTTCCCATGGTACCAAATTTTAAATGCTTCTCAGATTGAAGTTTAGAAAGAATATCAGGGATCAATGCATTTATATTTTAAACACTGTGGTTTAAAAATCAACTGTGATTACATAGACTCAGCTAATAACTGTGTGTTCTATTTTTTAGAACATTTCAGTTTTAATTTCATGTTCCAAAATACAGTATGCGGGGTCCTACCACACATCTTGAGCATTTAAACTCTGCTTTAAGAATACTGTATAATTTTGAGGCAGGATTTTAATCTTCATTGAATCAGTTCTTATGTTTGTATTAGAACATTTTCCTAATTAACTTTACCTGGGCTAGTTGAATTATTTTTTTGAAACAGAAAATATAGTGATACAGTATGTGTCACAGTGTAAACTGTGAATAAAATACTCCTTGAGCCGAATTTTCCATTGTAGGCAAAATGTTTGTCCACAGTGGGAGCTAAGATGTATATTATTGTTGTAGGATGACTTGAGTGCTACATAATTTGACACTTTAGTTGTTCCACAATTTCACAGCATGTAAAGCAAATCTAAAACAAAAATACAGTGCTCAAAATACACTACAGTAGGTAGTTATTGCAGATTGTGAGCTCAGAAGCAGTGCTAGGGTTACTTTGCATACCTCTCCTCACAAGGTTATTATCATTATCATCATTAATATTATATTAGTATTCTTTTTGTTCTTCTGACTGCATCTTCTATGGCTGTAAAGAAATCATGTTCATGTTGAATTAATTTAATTTATACATGAATTATTTTTTATGAATTCAGATGGGGCACTATAAAGGCAGGTTGAATGCATAAAACCTTTAACTGAATTCAACAACAGATCTGTGAGATGATGTTTGCTGTAACATCACAGAGACTCTTCACATTACATGTCAATTTGTCTTTGATAGTAAGGCTTTTCCACTTATCCTTAGCAAAACCTTTTGAAGAACCAGCACGGGGTTCTGTTTAGCTAATGATGCTGGATTAATATGGTTCAATTCATGAGCTTTGATAAGAAATCTACAGTACAATGGTAAAATGTCAAGGGCTGTGTTCTGTGAGAATCCAGGGGAGTTTATTAAAAGGAAAGTGAGAAATGTGGAAGGGGAGTTCCCTTGGTAATGGCCCTCTGTTAAAACATGGTGGAATAGTTTTATCAAGGGTTTTCAAATTCCCCAAGGGATTAGTAATGTTTGAATCTGACTGCTAGAAATACTGCAGAAGTTGTGGAACAGGTTAAAACAAGTCCGTTGTCCTGAAAAAAAAAAATTAAAAAATTAAAAAAGCGTATTAAAAGTAAGAACATAAAAGGATCCAGAAGAATTTTTTTTCTTATTTTATAGATTCGTGGCTAAGCAATTCTAAATGAATAATTTAAATTAATGTATGGATTAGGCTAACACTAGGAATAAGTTTAGTACAACAGGATACCTAGGACATTACAGTGTTCCGGCTCTGAAGGATTCAATGCATTGACTTTATTTTAAGTTTCTAATGGTGTTCTCTCATTAATGTTGGAAGTAAAACATTAACATATTATACAGTGATACTGTATACTCTGTTTGGATCCATTATTGCTCCTGAATGTTCAAGTAATACTAAAAAGTTACTTTAGCAAATCCATGTTGATTATCCCACAGAATCATTTTACCATACAGAACATAATTAATATGACAAGCAAGAGAAGGCCATTCAGTCCATCAGTCCATAGTTAATTGAACCAGGGATTATGTAAGGATTGAATGATGTCAGCTTTAAAATCATGGCTAGCAGGTTTGTTCCATGTTTGTCCCACAACCCAGCAGTTTCCAATTGTGTCCTCTGCTTTATGTTTCACCATTAATTGTAATTAACTTCTGCCTCTTCTCTGCTAATATGATTTAATATGCAACTACAGTATATCTTTGCTAAACCTGAAGCAAATACAAAAGCTAAAACACTTACATTAACAGATTCCCATCTTTGCATCTAGAGCCCTTTATTTAAAATGTTGTTGTTCCTTTGCTGTTGTAGTAGAGAAAAGCCTTTATATTTTATTTACTGTAAGTCTCCATTGCAATATTTTCTCTCTCTTTCCCTTTCTCATGTCATTTTTTACACATGCTTGCAGTTCATTATATGCCTCTTCTTTAACCGGTTCTTTTAAAATCACTTTCTACTTTCCTCCTTGTATTTTTCCTATGTGATGTGATTTTATTACACCATTTGGGTTGGTGTTCTGTAGTCTTGGATTTGCTCACTCTTGGTATGAATCTATTTTCTGTTTCAAGCACTTTTGCTGCCTAGTTCCTACTGCTGCCATAGTCTTTCTATTCCTTTACCTATCTTAACTTGTCTTGTTTTTTCATGGCCTGCTTTCTTAAAATGTAAAGACTTTGTATCATAATCTGTATAGTTCCAAATTAGATGTTAAAAGTACTTTAGGGATGCAAAAAGGCACATCACAGATTTGTGTAGTTTTGAAGCAAGTTTATTGGGTCAAAAATCCATCTAGACTGTTGTGTACCGTCTTTTTCTTAAAAAGCAATTCAAATCCAAAGCCCTTTTCTACAGGTATGTGCTTTTAGATACAACATGAACAGCTTCATGTGTTACACTAAACACTGCCTGTCTTCACTCTTTCAAACAAAAGAGCTAAATTTAATAAAATTGTACTTTACCGTGTTATGATTGCAGTTCCCTAATCATGTAATACTGTAGGCGTTCTGATGAATTGATTAAATAAGCAATCATTAGAAGTCATTGAATAGTCTTTAGTTTTATTTTGAGCTGCTGATATTTTTGGTGATATTTTCAGTAGATGTAAGGAAATTAAAATCTGCCATGACAACCATTCCCTTTATATGAATATCCCTTATTTATTTATGTAAGACTGCCTTACAGTTATTATCTGAATTTGGTGGTCAATTGCATGATCCTTACACTATGCCTTTTGAATTTGTCTGACCCATTTACTGTAGATAATGAGAAACTGTGATTCATCTTGGTTAAATTTGTGGTTCTTTTTGTTGTATAGTGCTAGACCTCTACCTCTTCTGTCTTTTCTTTCTGTTTAAAGCCCTCTGTATCCAGGACTGCGGTATTTGTCACTATTGCTATCTGTTATCTATTGCACTTCTCACTCTGTTTTTGATTATACTCCCATTCAGTTCTGTTTTTTTTTAATCTTTTCCCTAAGCTGATTCATAATAATTTTTTTCAGATGTTTCTGAAACATCTCCAGTTGTTCAGTTTTGCATGCAACAGGCACTAATCCGGAGGAAACTACTGATGTGGTGCTTCTCTGTAAATTATTTCCAACATTTTTGAATTTTCTACTGTACATATGAGAAGAATGCTTTTATGCCAATGTTGTGTATCTTATCATGAACAACAATAAGAACTGGGTCTTCATCTACCTTTTCTAGAAGCCAGTCTACTCTTTAGACAATGTCAGCCTCATTAGTCTTAGGGAGACAGCATACTGGTAATGTCTCAGGATCCATAAACTGTACATATTTCAGCTACTTTGTTCCTTTCAAAAAAGTCTGCAACAATTACTGCTTTTGTTTCTCTTGTTTTTGGTGGTACTGGCACTGAATGAAGTTGATACAACATGAACAGTGATGAATGGTGTCTGAAAAACTGTATTTGTGTAGGTGGTATCGTAGGAGCCACTACCTTGTGCTTCCAAGTCTTGTCTGTTCACAGATCTTGGAGTGGAGCTTGTTTAGATGCATGGCACCTGTCAGCATAGGCTGTTGTATTTTACTCCATTGGATAAACTGGTACTAGATCCTCCCTGTAGGTTTCTCTATTGTTCTAAAGATTTGGGGTGCCCACTGTCATGACTATTAGATTTGTCATTTCCTCCTTCCTGTCCTTCAGGCCAGGAATGCTGAATACTCATTAAGTTCCTGTAGTTTTTACAGATATGGCATGGCTGTTTGGACTTTTCCAAGATGAATGTTCCACATGTAGCAGATCACAGGTTAAGATCATTTGGTGGATATTTTATAGGAATTCCTTTATAGTATTTTCACTGGTACAAAGAAAGGAAGAAGATGAGAAACAATGCAGCTATTTTTCTATAGCTACATAAATGCAATCAGTCAGCCTGCTTACAACTGACACCTAATCAGCTCTACCTGTTATAGCCTTCGAATCGGTCTTAATGATCCAAAAACTGTCTCACTTCTACATACTGGCCCTAAAGCACTAAAATACAAGCGGTGCACCTTTAGTCTTATACTGTTTGAAAAAAAAAAGGTAAATCAGCGACTTCAACAACAGCATTTCTATACCGAAAACAGAAAATGTTCTTTTTCCCTCTCCGGTAGCTGTTTGCTGTAAGTAATTTTGCTGGAAGGAAAGACAGGTGATATTGTGAGTGAGGTTTGGATAAGTGTCTAGGCAAAAAGAAAAGTGTATCCATGTCATGTCAGTTGTCTTTGATTTATTTTCCCTGCTTATGTTCTCAGTAGAATTAACTGTACTGCTAAAACGCTCATTAACGGGCCACAGTTTTTGCTAATCGCCCCCAACTTATGCTTTGTTGATGGGAAAGCACGAGCAAAGCTGAAAGTGCTTGAAGCAGCATGCCTGCTAGACATTTTCCCTGATGTTTCATCTCTGTATAATTTAAATCTGTAAGGCATCTTTCTGAGTCCCAGGGTGGTATAAAAAGGTAATGAAGCCAAGTAATTATGGGAAAATGAGGAAAAATGTGTGCAGACAGTCTAGACTCTGGTGATTCCTTGAGACGGACTCCAGGGTATTTCTTGTATTTGTTTTTTTATTTCACAGCAGCAGATTCACATACAGTATGTTGGAACATAACATGTAGTTATGGAGTTTACCTTGTATCTGGAAATGAACAAGGTAAATTAATGCAACTACATTATTTGAAGTATTCACTTCAAAAATTGACAAAAAAATGAGAAAATTAGTAACTCCAGAGGCTGGCAAACAATATTATTGACAACAGTAAGAAACTCCAGGCTGGTTTTGACTATAAAGCCTCTGAGTTGTCATTGCAATACAACAGGTTGCTGATTCCAATTTTTTATTATTTTTTCATTGGAAAATCAAAACTAAATTGGCTGGTATGGTGGTGTGTATTGTGAATATGATTAGCGTGTATGTATACCTATGGATACATTTGATTATTCATACATCCATTTGTGACATGTTATCATAATGTCAGGGGGAAAAGGTCATATTATTTTATTCAAGACATAGCAGTTGATACCTGAATATAGAGTTATTATTACAAATAGTTGCAAAAAAGCTTTTAATTTAAAGAGAAATCGAGGAAACAGTAAAAACATACAGTATATATTAACATATATCAATACATATGACTCTCATCAAGCTTGGGTCAGTTCAGCTGACAAGAAAAACAGCTACTCTCACAGAACAATGTCCTCATTGTATTCTCAATGTACAATGTAAAGAGTGCATTGTCAGTTTTGTTTCTGTGAGGATGTTCTGATCTTTGTGGTCTAGAGTTCAGTTCACCATTTGTCACAGCATCACTTCAATATACCATATTAGAAATGCACAAAAATAAATGCATTTGGGTATGCAATACTTAAGTAAGAAAATCATATTTCTTGTCTTGCCTGAAAAAATATATACAGTAAGAGGCACTTGAAGAATTCAGCTTAATCCCACCAGCGTGTTAAATTACTGCAGACTGCAACATTGACTGACACATGTGGGATGGTTTGTTCTTATTTAAGCCACTGCACCTCACTCATAAACACTGGACTGGGCCACATTCTCTTTCTTATAGAATTATTTTTCCTTTCCTTTAAATCCATTATATTTTCTATTCTCCATTCATACATAGTTTTCATGCCTGACACCATTTTGACAGCTGATGCCCTCTAAAGGATGGAACAGCACTTACAAGGACATTTCTTTTCCATTAATGACCTATTTCTCAGTTAAGATGTAGTATATTTAGCAAATTGACCCTTCTAAGAGTAACTACTAGCTTTAGGCACAAGTAATTAACTACCACTAGATTAAATTAGAATCATCTGCCCAGTCAATCAAAATTTTGCACCTTCGTGCTGAATGTATTTTCAGTAGTGTACTGTACATCAGTAAATTATTTTTCTTTGAACAATGCCATTCTCTATTATGTTGTTTTAACAGTATTTTATTTATTTTTCTTTTCAGCACATTATTTTCTGTGCAACAAAAGTGTAAGCCTTTTTTATTAAAAATGTGTCATTGAGAATTGTTCTCAATTGACTTATCTAGTTGAAGGATTATTAATGTCATTTCTGACAGGCATTGCCAAGATCTTTCTTTTAATATAATGTAATTTGGATTTTGCAGTCTTTGCTTGTACTGTATGTTTCAAACCTATGTCTATGACATTTTAAATGTGTGATTTATATCCCATTCCTTTTGTGAAAGGAGCAGAAAGTACTTGGATATTTAGATAGGATTTAGATGAACTGAATGGATTCCATTCATTGGTAACTTTTCAAATGCTTATTTATTTTTTACATTAAAGCAACTGTGCTGGAACAAGTGACTTTAGGACTTCACACACATTTCTGGTGCTGTATAGAAATGATTCATGGTTTCTTTCTCTTTCAGAGTGTGGATGTGAGTGGGAAAAGCTTCAAGCTGGAGGGGCTGAAGAAGTTCACAGAATACACTATACGTATACTGGCTTACAATCTTTATGGGCCTGGCACAGCCACAGAGGATCTGACAGTGGCCACACTTTCAGATGGTAAATGAGTTTATTAATTGCATTTTTAACATGTTCAGTTCTGTAATTTATTTTATGAAAATAACCATCAGCATCATGTCCATCGAAATCTACTGTATCAGATGTTGTGCTCTTTTTCTTAGTGTCTGGATGTCCATGTCTACTGTATGATACAGTAAATTCAATGCAAGTTTTCTTCGTATAAAATTGTCTTGGAGATCTGAAGTCATCCTTGTGTGACACACCTAAGACTAGTTAGCATTTTTTAAGTGTTTTCTTCATATATACTTCGCTTGGAGATATAAATCATTGCCTTTACAGAATTGACTAAGAAAGTTCTTCATTTTTAGAGTTTCAGAATTAAATTTGTGCCCCACATGCTCACACACATAGTACACTGAGCTCCAGGAGAAACTTAGGGCTCTGTTCATTCATGCATGTGTTAAGAAAAATAAAATGTATGTATTTTAGATATCATTTATACAGTATGTTTCTTGTGTTGTTTTGATTATTCAATCATGCATGACTGTCTGTGATTCACTTGAGTTAATTTGACTGTTGCATATGTGCTAAATCACTTCATTAATTTGATTAAACAGTTCATTAAATTGATCAGGCATAACTGATTTGGTGGTTTAACCTGTTGATTGTCAAACCTGGTGAAAATCCCGCAGAGTAACGAATAGGTCCTCTTTATCCAGAGAACACCTGGATGCTGGCCTTACACCTCAGGTGACTCCAATAGGAGCTAAGTCTTCTTGATCAATCAAGATTCTGTGTAGACAACTCTGATGTACACTAACAAGAATGGCACAGATGTGCAGAAAGATGTATTAATAGCTGTATACAGTAGATCAGTCAATGTTCAATGTCCAAGTATGGTGGTCTGGATAGGAATGTCTAGTTGCACGAGAGTCCTGAGATCTTACTTACTGTTCTACATGTGGGTTCATCCTGACATGAAAACATTTCATCAGAACAATATACAACTTCATGTTGCTCATGTAACAACACATTTCTTACAAGATGAGAACATGTCAATTCAACCATGGAGGACCGACTCACCAGAACTGAGCCCTGTTGAACATTTGAACTAAGACAACAAGTGATATCTAGGGCTTAGGGATCAGTTCACAGGTACATGATTGTTTAGACAGAATACTACAAAACAACATCTGCAAAGCAGTGTACAACATTTATTTCTTCCAGTGGTGGCCTGTACACATGCATTCTACTAAACTGTTATTTTCACTCTCAAGCCCCTGTTGATGAACCCTGCTGATGACCAATGTTACTCAACATTTACTTTATGTCTGTTCAGTACAGTGCATCTTCTTTAAAAACAATGTTTCAATTAGTGAATTTGTTGCACTTACTGTACAGTACTGTATATATTCTAGCATTCTTTTATTATCATGATCTGAATAACATTTTCTTGGAATGTACCAGTTACTCCAAATTACAGGTGAAGTGGATTTAATGAATTTTAAGGTGAATGGATATTGTGAACAAATACAATTTATTTCCCAGAAGAGAAATAAAAACTCAAATTTTCTGACAGAAACTTATTATCACGTTACACATTTGTGTCCTCAAATGAAACAGAAATCTTTTTTTTTTCTAAAATACTGCCAAGTTGTGCTAGGCTGAGTGGAGGAGGAGCTTGTGCTTTGGGGTAGAATATCTTTATTTACAGTTCCAAGCTGCAGATACCCTGGAGCCTTTTCCTCCTAATTCAATTAGTCCTTCAGAAAAAGAAGCTCCAAGGGGAATATGGCAGGCATTACCCATTCTGTTCACTGCCTTTTATGAACTTGTCTGGTGTTGATCATATACTAAGCTACAAAGAGAACTTTCTGTTCTTTCCCTGCAGTGGGACCAGAACTGACAAGATTTGGACAATTAGAATTCCAGGGCTGCATTTCTGCATTAATTTTATAGTATACAGTATATGTTGTGTGACCCCCACAGCACACTGCGTTCTACTTGTAGCTTCTAATGTTTATATGATTGTTTGTGATAGAAGATCTGCTCCAAACTAAAAAAGAATGTATTTTTTTCAACTGATTTCTTTGCTTTCTTTGCTGAAAATTATTTGCTTTAGGTTGATCTAAAAATATATATGCCTGTTAATGATTATGAAGTTTAAAAAAAATGCAATCACCTTTGAAATTATAATATAGACCTCTCTGCATGCCTCCAACTGTGGCACTGACACAAGACAGACTTTAACACAATCTTTCATGGATTAGGAATAATTAAACTTCCTTAGCTACCCAAAATAATAAAAATATGAAGGAAATGAAGCAAAAATGTGTTTCAGATGGATAATATGCCATCTGGATAGATACAGCTCACTAAAAAAAACAGGAGCTGTGGAACTATGCTTTTGGAACCCCAAAATAAAAAAAAAAATGTTGTCATTAATAAAGCTGAACATACAGTAGGCAGTATGAAGTAATGTTTCCCTGCTTTTGCATTTCAGATGTACAATAAGTTTGTTTTCGATATGTGTGGAACGGAGTTCTGCATTATGATGAATGTATTCTGCACTGCTGCTTGTACTGTATATACTGTACTGTAAATTTTGCATTTGCCAGAGTTAAGAGTGTCTGCTGTTTGTGTTTGGAATTTCAATCAATCTCACAGTCATTTTACAAATCTGTCAGTTGAACAATGGATATAGAAGGTGATAAAATGTGCCTTGGAGAATTTTAGTTGCAGTCAGAACTACAGTTGCAGTCAGAATGTTGTGACTCATGATAATTTGAATTTATTTAAAACTTTGCACAAGCAACTTAAACACCTAAAAGCAAAAATGTATGAAAAACAGGATGAGGTAGGGAGTTGTGAACTAACAAAATAAACGTTTCAACTCGTTACGGCACATGCAGATAACCTGAATTGCACGTCTCCGGCAAACTACAGTTTGAATTAATTGCATTCAATTCATGTTTTTGTCTGACAGTGCAAGGGATTTATGCATCCACACACATCACAACAGCCATGTTCACTAGCATTGCCTGTGAGCTTGTACACTCCAATTTGCATTCCATTGGCTTGAAGACTGTGGCTGTGCCTGCTCTCCGCTCACTTCTCACTTCTGTTTTTTGCATCCCTCCCTTCTGATCAATCAACAGCAGTCTGTACTTCTCAGAGTCGCTCACTCCGGGGTGCCACAATGAGCCTTACATCTTTCCTGCAGTATGGCTGAAAGACTCTGTTATTCTGTGTATTGTCTCTTTCCATTACCTTTGGTGTGGGCTAAGAGGCCAAAGGAATTTATTGGCTGTCTGCTTCCATTAACTGTGGTTTACTGAATGTCTCAAACGGACTGTGAGATCTGCCTTTTTCATTTCCCTGCTTAATTAAGGCCCCTTGTGTTCAGTAATGAAATTGTGTGCTCTGACTCCGTACCGCACTCCTCTCAGTGCTAATTTATGACCTTTGCCTTTAGTGTTCTTGATTCATACCACAGCTTCCTCTGTAAACACATACAACAGTTAGCCTCATTGCAGCTGTCCACAATGGTTTCTCCATGCATTTTGGAATTTACAGAACACGTGAAGAAATTTGTATGTTTATATTTGATATATGTTGACAAATTTACAGCGTTTTTTCCTGTCAGTATGTTTAAATGGCAAAAGGGGCAGTAGCTCTAATAATAAAGAAAGCATGTACAGTACAGGTTCATCATGGAGAGGTCATGGTCAACTGTTACTGAAGTTACCGTATGAGACTGTACTTTCATGTTTTATATAGGTTGCATATATCCGATTGTATCATTTGAACATCCTCAGGTGTTCGGATTTAGCACATTTCTAATTTGATCAGGATGCTGCTCACTTCCTGCTTAACCTGGATTTGGATGTAAAGTTCAAGTATCAATGTCAGTGTAAAGGCATTTCTTGTAGAGGTTACAATAAAGACAGGTGGCTTAATGGTGAAACAAACAAAGAAAATGAGAAAATAAAAAAAATACAGACTGATGTATACAACAGTTAAGATTGATGTTTAATATCAGTTTGCTTTCTGTGTGCAGCGTGACATGCTGATGGTCTCATTCTTATTTGTACTTTGCTTTCACCTTTCCAGGAATCTTCATAAACATGTACAGTATGTGCTGGATATCATACTCTTGGATAGGGCTAGCAAGTAAAGTATAATTCTTCACCTTACATGATGGCTGATTATTTATACAAACAAAATTAGTGTTTTCACTTTGCTATAAAACTATTGTTACAGTTCACTGTCAGGTTCTCTTAATGCTCTTATTCTATATTCTCTTTCAGTACCAAGTGCACCCCCTCAGAACATCACATTAGAGGTTGTCAACTCAAGAGTAAGTAAAGAAATTCAGTGCTTTATGAACAAATACATAAAATCCCTCTCTTATGTTTATGTGTGCTAAACGTTTGATAAGTTTTCTGTTATTTGTATGAGAAAGGTGTTAAAGAGAAAATAGTTTTGGTTTACCAAAACCAGATGCAAAGCCAGAAATATGAGAGCTGGTAATGGACCAGAGCCCCTTTACTGTACCTTTAACCATTTACTGTATAATCATGGAAAGCAGAAATCTGTTTTAAACAATGTTCTTTATACTAGAGATGATCTGAAAGAAGCAGCGCATACCTGTAGGTCCTCCCTGTCTTTCTCACCAGTGGAGTGACAGAGGAGGTAGTTGAGGCCATTTTGGTTGGATGAATCTCCTGCTAACCGGCTGGAAAGAAGAAACAGGAGATGGCACAAATCATAAGAAAAAGACAACCAGAGAGCTGGCAAAAATATGACAGTGACTGCACTGTACTGTAAAGGCTGTTTTTGAGAAGCAGAACAAGCATAATGCCAACTAAAGCCAAACATGTTTCTGAAAGCTGGTATTTTGAGTTCAGCTGTAACCATGCAAGTGTTCAGTTTTTTCTTAATATTAAAATGCAAGATTGTTTCCAATGTATAAGAGATGTACGCAATGTGTCAGTTCAGATAATACTCAGGATCCAGGAGAAAACCACAATGACAACAGTTGTGATTATGACTATAATTTTTATAATATGAATATAACGTGAAAATTTATTCTAAAACATACACAAATCACAAAGCTGTAAGAAAGCAATAAGGGAAATTTTATTTGGTTCTGTGGAAAACTATAAAACATATCTATATATTTCATAGGGAATATGAAAAACACCCAGAAAAAGACAAAAAAAAACTCATATCTGTTTAGTAAACAGGATGCTTTGGATGCAGAATGTATTTCTTAACCAATTGGAAACTTGTGATTTGTGTGGTTCTCTTACAAGATACAGATTAAAAATGAATATACTGTATATAGTGTATACAGTATATACATATTTATTTGTGTAAGTCACATTCTGGAACTGTAAGAAAGCCACAGGTAACAGAAATTAAGTGGGTACTTATCATCGCTTTTCAATCGCTGAAGAGTTGTGTTTAAAATGCACTTTAAAACAAATCTGCCTCAAGCTCCATTACGTTAGTCTAACAAAGATTGATTTATTATAACCATAAAGTTAGTTTTCCGTTTGAGAATCTTGCTGGGGTCTTTCGGCAGTTTAATTTCTAGGATTTTGTCATTCTGAATGGTGGATGTTCTCTTCAACAGCTGTATAGTGTACAGAATTGAATTATTTTGAAAATGAGAGTGGTTTTGTTCATTTTTTAAATATAAGAGATAAACTTACATTTCTGTTTTGAAGAGAATGAACATGCAAAATAGATTTTCTAATTCGTTTTTCCATCTGAGTGTTAAGCTGGAATATTGGAGAGCATGCAGTTCTCTTTGTAGTAGTAAATTTGAAGGGTGGTACTGTGGTGCAGTGATTAGCATTGCTGGGACCTGGACTCATTTCCTGGGGTGCTATCTGCATGGAGTGTGTACAGTATGTGTTTGCATGGGATTTCTTGGGGTACTCCAGTTTCTTCCTACAGTTCAAAAACATACTGTTAGATTAATTGGCTTCTGGGATACAGTATATGGCCCTGGTGTGAACATGTGCATGTTTGTGCCAGTGATGTCCCACCCACGGTGTATCCTACCTTACACCTGTTGCTCACTAGGATAGGCTCTGGCTACCTGTTGACTCTGTATTGAATAAAGAGGTTAGAAAATGGATGAAGGGAATATGACCTAACCTCTACAGGCAGACTTATCATATTATATTAAAATTCTCATGTTAAACTAAGGCCAGATACTGTATATTTCAGCAAGCATAAGAACAAATTTACAAATATCTTTCAGCGAGTATAAGAACATTTTTATTAGTTTTTTTAGTGTGAAGAAGAATTGATAAAAAACAATATTATCTTGGAATCTGTTTCTGTTGTTCCATATTCCAAATTGTTGCACTTAAATTCCAAACATGCTTGTAAAATGAAATATAACTTGACCAAATACCAAAAGTATTTTTGCTTTTATTGAGTTAATAATTGTTGCATTTATTTATTGTCATTACGATATGAGTCAAACATCTTTGTAAACCACTGATTTTTGGAACAAGCTTACTCTAGTCTGCTGTGATTATAAATGATCATCTTACAACATTTTGACCATATCGAAAGAAAGTCATATACAGTATACTGTATCAGACTATTCAGCTGTACACAGAGGCAAGTTTATAGTTTAACATAAATTTATTAGATACTCACTGAAACTGTGCACACGTGGAAATAATTTGGATACAGGCTGATGTAAATGTTATTAGGGGTATTTATATTAGAAATAATGTGTTTGAACATACTGTAAAGCTTTAATTACTGCTGAGTTCTTAATAGGCACACTGCCCACGAGATATGATATACTGTAAATAGCTTTATGTTTAGTTTACTTGGAAAAAAAATATATCAAGACTTTAATTAGATTTTTCTGTGGTACAGAATATTGTAACATGCTTGTACATTGTCTTTGGTTCATTGTTTCCCAACATGAACAATTTGAAGAGAGCACTTGACCCGATATATCCTTCATTGTGTACTTATGAAAATGTGACAGAGGAAGAAATCAGTTCAGTATTTTTGATTCGGCAGTCTGAGTATACTCAACGTGGAATATTAGCATCCACTACAGGAATGGTTGATGAAAGTTCATTCTATAGCAGGCTCAGATGTTTTAGAACAACTGACAGACCTAAGGTGGCTTGAGAGGTCGAAACACATTAAAACCTCATGAGGACTCAAGATGTACAGAGAAGGAGGCTTTATCTCAACAGATACAGTACACAGACTGCTACTACCATCTTAAAACATACTGTAACTTCGAGCAGCTCAGTGATACACCCTTACTATATATACACCAAACACACTAATTGAAATCCATATGAGAATGTGTGTTACAATTAACCAATTATGTAATTTGTGTTTGCCCCAAAATAACTATAATACTGTATTATCTTTAAGGCCCTAATTGGTACTCTTTAGTGGCAGGATAAATGTAATTGAGTCCTTTATGTGCCAGGCCTGCCACACAACTCTTTCATTATTGTGGCATTGGAGTTTCATATGGCTCTGTGTGAGGTCGGACTCTTGGAATATATTGGAAAATATTTAGTTTCCTTTTGGGGATCAAGTCTTTTAAAATCATTGGCAGTTTATGACCTCCCACTGCATGCAGTCTTCAGTGACGTGTCATAGGATTAAAAATGAGACTTTTGTTTGTTTGTGATAAGTGAATTTATTTTAATTATTTCTATCCTTTTTGCTAGCCCTAAATAAATTTTGGCCTATCTGGTCCAGATTACTGCCAAGGGTCTTACGTTTTTTTGTGATCAAAATTTTACACTTTTTTCTAAATGTACAGTATATAAGTATTAGTTAGATATTTGTTTTAGAATATTGGTTACCATGCAGCAAAATCAGAAACTATATGTTTACTTTGGTATCAGTCTGTATGTTCGTTAAAGGAGTATCCTACTCTGAATTTAACTGAATCTCTTTAATGAATAGAACTGAATCTTTAATAGAGAAGGCTACTGTCACGGATGTCGGAAGGGCAAGCCGTGGAACGATAAGGAGAGCAGTAAAGACCCAATGCGTAGCGAAAAGGGGGCAACATGGGGGTTAGCCCAGGCTCAGGGGGTCAGACGATGTCGGAAAGAAACCTCAGGCCACAGACAGAAGCGACCTGGTGCTAGGCGGGGCTCAGGACATCCGTACCCTCAATGCTGAGCAGAGCAGACACAGGAAGTAAATAGGTTACACAACAAGACACACCAGAAAGAACTAGGAACTAGGAACAGGACAGAAGTAGAGCACCCTCTAGGTGTACTGGGCATGACAGCGACAAGGGGACTTACTGTAATTCAAGTATTCAAAATCCTTTGAATGGACAAATTAAACTCTTTAGTCTTTTTTCAAAATGTCAATCCTATATGGCTGTAAGAGTCTGAAACAAGCTACCCTGTCATATTTCAAAGCTGATACAATTTCTTATTTTTTTTAAGAAACAGCTAGATTTGTTCCTCAGGTCATTTAAACCCAAGAAGCCAAACAAGCTACAGTAGGTGGGTCAAACTGGCACTGCTTATTTGCAGACTTTCTTATGCTTCAAAGACAAAATGCATTTTTTTAAAGAATGTTACTGAAATAATTTTGTAGAAATTAAGCATAAACCTTGTATTAATCCTACTTTTTTTACTTATAATAGATTGTGTTTACAATTAATGACACAGTGTTTGTTTTTAAATTAACAAATAGTTACAATCAGCATTACTTTATAGAATACAGTAGGCTCAATTGCTATTTGCAAATGCTTAAAGAAGAAAATGATTTTTTCAGTGACTGCACAGCAGCTACGTTTCTCTTTAATCAGATAAAGAAGGACTTTTGTCCAAAATGTCCTCAAAAAATATTTTTAATTACAGTATGCAAACCTTGTGTACAACATCAATAAAATCCATTTCTTTCTATCAGTATTAATGATTTGTAATAAAATGACATTATGTGCATATTAGGATACTCCTGCAGATAAACTTATAGTCCTTCCACTGAACTGTGCTTTGTGTCTTTCAAATCTATCACTACATATCCTGAAATGCAGGTAACACTCCAGGTCCAGAACGGTACCCATGACCCAAGAGCCACAAGGCACCAATACTAAGCTCTGCACCACCATGCCACCCCTGCAGCTCCCATTCAGTGTTATAATAAGGATGTTAAATGTAGATGTAAATAAGATCATTTGATTGCTGCTCCATGGGAGAAAATTAAATAAAAGAACCTGGCTGAACCTTTTCTGAGACAACCTTACACTGGCTATCTGCAATGCTTTCTAGTCTTATAGCCTTACAGTATGTAAGATTGCTCATGGTCACATGCATTCTGGCAAAC